AAGTGAATATAGACTAATTGCTTGCTGCACTGTGGTCTATAAGTGCATTTCAAAAGTTCTCTCTAAAAGGATGAAGGATGTGGTGGCCATCTTGGTAAGTGAGAATCAATTAGCTTTTATTAGTAACAGACTAATGTTGTATAATGTCCTTATAATGCAGGAGCTGATAAGATTGTACTGGCAAAAGAATATGTCGGAGAGGTGCTTAATGAAAGTTGATATCCATAAGGCATTTGACATAGCTGACTGGAAATTTATAGCAGAGATGCTAACTGGTTATGGATTCCCTACTCAGTTTACGGAATGGATATTAGAATGTGTGACAACCACATCCTTGTCATTGGCCATGAATGGAACCCTAGTTGGGTATCTTGAGAGAAAACGAGGTTTGAGGCAAGGAGATCCACTATCTCCTAAACTCTTTGTTCTTGTAATGGAGTACTGGACAAGAAGACTTAGAATAGTGGTATCTGATCCTCATTTTAAATTTCACCCTTTATGTAAAAAGCTTCAACTAACAAATGTATTTGTTTTGCTGATGACTTAATGTTGTTTAGTAGAGCTGATGAAAAAATTGTTCAAAGTCTTATTTCAGGATTTGCAAATTCTCAGGAGTCACTGGATTGTTCCGTAATCCACAGAAATCACATATGTATTTTGGAGGAGTGACTACTGCAAAAAGCCACAAGTTGTGTGAGATAACTGGCTTTCAAGAAGGAGGATTTCCAATGAGGTACTTAGGTGTACCTCTGTCACTAAAGAAGTGGACACAGATTGAATGTGACAACCTTATTCAGAAAATGATGGCGAAACTCAAATGTTGGAGCACAAGAAATATATCGTATGCAAGTAGAGTGCAGTTAACTAACTATAATATTATCTTTGCATATACATTGGGCCTCCACTTTCATTTTGCCTCAAAGTGTCATTAAACAGGTTACTAGAATATGTCGAGAGTTTGTTTGGAGAAAAAACAATCGGGGAAATCTGTCTCAATAGTAGCCTGGGATGTAATATGTAAAAGTAAGAAAGAAGGGGGATTAGACTTACGGGATATTAGAACTTACAATCAAGCTACAATAATGAAACAAGTATGGCATATTGCTAGTAACAAAGACATGTTATGGGTGAAGTGGATTCATGAGATTTATCTCAAAGGGCACAGTATTTGGGAGGTTGAAGCAAAAAATGATGTCAGTTGGCATTGGAAGCAGATTCTGAAGGTGAAGGACTTAGGAAAACAGGAATTTGATGTCAGCAAATGGAAGGCAAATGATAAAGGAATATACACTGTTATAGCTAGATACAGGTGGCTGAAAGGAGAACTGCCAAAAGTACCTGAAGCTAGCCTTATATGGTCCAGTTTGAATATGCCAAGGCATACATTCATAGCATGGTTAGTATGGGAAGGTAGATATTTGACTAAGGATCGTTTGACAATAATATCCATCACAGAGGTAGACCCTCTACATGCATTATGTCAAACTTATTCTGAAAGTCATAATCACTTGTTCTTTAACTGTGCTGTATCTGCTAAACTGTTTTGCAAAATTAGAAGTTGGCTAGGAATTGGCACTATATCTCATGATTGGAATAGATGGAGAAGAGAGGTGAGACATGTTTGGAGGGGTACCAGTTTGAAGTATAGGATATGGTGTGCAGTTATGGTTGCCCTGATCTATCAAATCTGGAAAGAAATGAATAAAAGATTGTTCAACTCTAAAAATAAGAATCTAGTTGAAATCATAAAACAGATCAAGAAGGAGGTTTACTTAAGACTAAAGGGAAGGTCAACAAGCAAGGATGCAGCAGTAGAGAATTTGATTATTCGGGATCTCTTTCCTGATCAATGCTATGTAATCTGATAGTAAGAAGAAAATTTTGCACTGTGTAAATATGAACTAATTGCTTTCTCTGGTGTGTGTGTGTGTGTCTATATATATATATATATATATAGAATTTACATTTTCACAAATCTAAATTATTCAAATTGATTAATAAAAAGATTTATTAAATTTTTTAAAATTAATAGTTAAATTTTTGTACCATTAATTCAACAAATTAAATTCAAAAAATAAAATGATACCGAAACCTAATTATAAATCAAACAACTATTTTAGAATGAGTATATAGATGGTAACTCCTTCTTGTTATCATACCTAACCCCATAGTGAGACCTATGAACAAACCAAATGCTTGCTTAATTGACATTTTTTTTCTTTTTCTTTTTGTTTTTTTGGTTTAACAACTTAGTTGAAAGCACCTCTTTTGTAATACCGCTAGTAATTAAGTTCTGATGTTGGAGAAAAATTCTTCGCAAGAGCCTGAGCATTTCAAATTCTTCCCAAATTTCAAATTGACCAATGAGATTGCATGTAATTAATAAGTGGACTTTGAACCATTATAAACATGATCATTTTCTTTGAGGATTAATATTCGTCTTTATCTTTGCAAATGTATCGGAGGTTCACATATGAATATCTAATTTAGTTTCTGCAACTTTTTTATAATCTACTTTGAACAAAAAAAACTTCATTTTTCTTGCACGCGATTTATGCTCTTTATTTTTATGCAGCCTGGAGTGTTCCATGCAAAGCATAAAGGGTAGTTCGAGATCCGACAAATGGACCGGAACACTCTTAGAAACGGGCGACATCCTGAAGGTGGTTACGGTCAGAAACGTGGCTGTCCGGGCACCATTCAAGAACGGGAAATTTGGAGTGCAGAAATGTTGAAATATTTCACAATTCGTATTATGCTAAAGAGACATCGGGTTTAGGACTTTAGGTTAAAGTCACGAGGAGTTCCGGAGAAGTTGCTGAGGCTTGTATTGTCCCGAATAAAGAAGAATTAACTAGTACTCTCTTGGTTCTAAAATTATTGTCCAGTTTGAAAATTTTCATTTTTAGTATAAATTGAAACTAACAGTGAAAATCTAAACTGGACAATGAGACGGAGAGAATATTATTATTCGCTTTACTCATGAAATAGTGATTAAGTATTAATTAGACAAAAGTAAAAAAAAAATGGCAAATCTTATGAAGACTTAAATATCCATCTTTATTCGTGGCTTAATAGGTACGTATAAAATAGTTAATCAATTGTTAAGGTATGATTATTTATAATCAATCAGAAGAGATAGCATTTTATGTTTACGGTGCATGATATATTATGAGGTGTTTCGAAATTATACTTTATGAATAAAGGAATCGGAGGAAATAGAATGTAGTAGTAATTTCTTTATCATTGAAGGAAATTGTACAAGTCAGCACAAGGCAAATTACGATTTCATTGTTCATTGATTCTAGGAGTACGAGACAGGCTCCAGACAGACCTAAGTCTTAAGGACGAAAAGATAGCTTTCATACTTTGTCCCAAAATGATTGTATAGTTTGAATTTTTAATTTTTATTTGAAATGCACTAAAATTGAAATCTAAACTGGATAATAATTTTAGGACGGATGGAGTATATCTTTTCTTAGATGCATATTGTGATTGGACTCTTATATTCCGTTCCATAGACAAGGATCAAGGCTTTATCTGTGTTTTTAATCTTATAAACTCTTTAATAGCTCAATATGTTTACTCCATAAATTCTTGCATTTTTGAACTAGACAAAGGGTTTTGATATAGAATATCAGAACCCATGTAGGCAATTTCCTAAAAATATACACAATTCCAAAGCAATTATAAAGTAGTGATCAGTATGTTTCAGCAACTATTTTCGCTATAGTTCTTGACACTGTGCTATTGTACCGCATAAGCTTCCTCCTTATTCACTCCAATCGTGCTTGTTTTCTGGGAAAAAGAAGAAGAAAAAAGTCTTTAATGTAGTCCTTTTTGATTTACTGCCAAGGTTTGATATACCTACTTAGTTGAAATATCACCTATTCCCTCTATTCTGAAATGACTACCTAGTTCGAAATTTTATTTTGATATAATTTGTATTAAAAATAAAAATTTAATTTAGGCAATCACTTTTGGACAGATGGAATATTGATTTAGGTTCGGATGATAACCCTTCAAGCCATTTTGGGGTACCTTGGAAAAATGAAAAATTACCTTAAAATTAATTACTTAAAGTTGAGCTATATTTTTTCTCTTACAAATAAACATTTTCCATATTGCAAGAAATTAAGACAAAAAAATAGAATACATACAACTATAGGAGTACTTAATTTAAGCATTTTGGGCTTTGAGGAGGTACAGCCCAAAGTCATTCAAGCGGTTGATCCTAGCATTTCGGAACACAACAGAAAAGAAAAAAAAGTTGATAATTTGATAAATATACGGAGCACAACAGAAAAGAAAAAAAAGTTGATAATTTGATAAATATACGGTTGTATATATAAGTATAGAGATAATTTGGCTACACATATCTACCTCCAAAAATTTTCTGATTTAATCAATGCCCAAAGTCATAAAAGAAAAGAAAAAGGAAAAAAAAGATAGTGTATAGTTAGATCGGAGTATTAATTTTTAATCGAGAATGAATTTATGCATTATTATTAAAATAATTACGATACTCCCTCCATTCCAAAATAAGTGTCGGTTTAGCAAAATGGAGAAATTCCAAAATAAGTGTCGTTCTCATATTTCAATGCACTTTTTGTCAAAAGTTTTCAAAATTACCCTCAAAAGAGTTGATGCTATTGGTGGACAATTTTACAATGGGGTTGGTTGAGGATATTCAAGTAATTTTATTACCCTATTTAATAGTTTCTTAAACTATGTGCAAAGTGTAGGATGACACTTATTTTGGAATAGAGAGAGTATTAAACTTGTGCTTTTCCAAGTAGAACACTGGTTTACAAGGAGCTGCCGCCTTTGGACACTTTCTATATATATGTCTCTAAGATCCATTCAGATTATCCATTCAGTCTGTCCACTTTCCAAAGCATAAGTAATTCACTCTCGCTAGGTCTCTTTTTATTTCCTCTGTTTCTCTCTGTTATCGGACGCTCTGTTTTAGGAAAGTATTACAGAGAAGAAGGGAAAATATGGGTTACGGGAAAAAGAAAATCGAGATCAAGAAAATTGAGAAAACATCATCCCGAAACGTCACCTTCACCAAAAGGAGACAAGGGTTATTTAAAAAAGCTCACAAATTGGAATCCATGAGCCGATTCAAAATCGCGATTCTCGTCTTCTCGCCTGCCGGAAAACCCTTCACCTACGGGGATACCGAGTCAGCAATGGAAACCCTCTTGAATTTTTACAGTCATAATGACTCGAATGAATCGATCTCTGGGTGCCAAACTGAAATCTTTTTTAATGATAAGACCACACTTCTTGAAACTGAGTGTTGTTCCAGATCTGATGAAATCAACTTGCCCCAATTGACTTTGACAGGGGATTCGAGTGAAATTCGAATTGGGATTGGTGGGGATGATGATGTTTGTGGTGGTTTTCAGTCTGCCTCCTACTTCACAAAACCCTTCACGGCAAACTCTGAGGCGAATACAAGTGGGAAAAATGAAGGACCTGAACCGTTAAGCGTTGATGATTACGAGTTAAATTGTTCAGTCCCCTTTATGAGCTATTTGATTAATGAAGAAACAAACCAAGAATTCGGATTTATGCCAGCGAAATCAAGCAATCAAACTGAGCACGAACAAGGGAATGTTAATTGCAGCAAATTTGCGGCCAGCACAACCGATGTAGCCAGCACAAGTGCAGAAAATGAAGAATTTGGGGCGTTATCAACCTGTTGTTCTGGGATTGTTGTTGATCCTTCATATTATGAGTTGAATTATGGAGATCCCTTGATGGGCAATTCTTTTAGTGGTGAAAGAAGTCAAGCATTTGGGTGTATGACAAACAATTTTGTGGGCGACAGTTTTGGTTTCAGTGGTGCAATTGCTGCTATATAGTGTTGTTTTTGCTGTCAATTAAGATTATTCTTTTTTGTAGTTTAAATATTAGAGCATTAATGTAGTTGATGAGATGAAATCACCTTTGTTAACTACTAGAACAGTTGGATTCAGTGTATAGGGAATGCTGCAGATGGATTTATATGTTCTTCCTACATTTGAATGAAATCATCTTCTTCTCCTTCTTCAGTTATTCTGTTTTTCTTTCTTGCAAATTTTCTATATTCTGTAGAAGTGCTAGTAGTATAAGATTTATGAGCCAGCATCAGAGTTCTATGGCTGTCAGTTTTGTCTGAAACAGAAGAACAAACCTTGTAGCTTTGTTCTAATACTTGGAGAAAAATTCAAATGTTAGTTTTGTTTTCCATCAAATTGCCATTAAGCTGATGGAACTTGACTTTGATTGTTTGTGATCCTTGTATTTCCAGGATAAAGCGGTAGTTAGGACATCCAAAGGCGATGAATTGTTAAAGTACAAAGTTGCTATTGGTATGTGAGGCAGAACCAGAGGAGCAATGCTTGTCTGATCTTTCTGATTGGGCTCCTCGTATTGCGTCATCTGTAGATTATCAGGAAACCTACTATTGAGCAAAATTCAGACCTCTGAAAAGTGAAATCTATTCACCTGGAAATAAAACAAGCAAAAGGATGCCACCACATTGGCATACACATATCACAGGCCAGCCACGTACTCTTAGCTTCAGCTCCCGCTTATCTGCACCAGAGAAGAAGTTCGCCATGTTTCTACCAATAATCAGTCCATCGTGACTGTCTAGGAATTTAATATGGCTATCTCGGATACTCATTGCAACTCCCTCCCATAGTAGCTTTCGGCCATTTGCATTAACTTCTAGAGAATAACTGAATTTTTCAGCATCTTCTTGGCTGCCAATGAATCGGACAAATAGCATGTAAACAGGGGCACAACCTAGTTGAAAAGCCTCAAAATGCAAACAGAAATAGTGCCAAAGCCTTCGACGATCTGCACATCCAAGACCACGTGAGAATCGCAATTGTTATTAAATGTTTGAAGCCTTTCCTTAGCAGATGACGGCTCGAGGGAGTATCATTGAAACAATCAGCGCATGCAACTTTGCACAGAGTTAGATATTGGAAAGAACTATCTGGAAAGTTGTGTAGACCAAATTGGGTGTAGATACATACATAGTGAGATCAACTGCAGAGTTTGGGTCAATCAAACCACCATGGTGTGAGCACTGCTCATAATGCTGGCCCCTCAGTTAAGCCACATATTTTTCTTACTTTTTACCCTTATCCACTGTTTAAACCTTAACTTAGAGAAAGAAAATCATAGAGAGAAAGAGTGGTTCACAGTCAACGTCCATGCAGCTCTGGAAACTTCTTTGGTATTTGCAGGGCAAATCAAGCTCCTCCATTGAAGGCCTTATGTTCCAAAGTTCGTGTTCAGGAACACAGCAGCTCCGAACCATAAAGTTGGGATTTGGGCAAAAGGTATAGCCATTTGGACACTAAACAGAAACAGGGAAATGGAAGAATATCAAAGATAAATAACAGAACAACTGTGGTAACAAACTCTAGTTTCCAAGATAAGATATAGAGAGAAGCAAACCTCATCATGGTCGACCTTCTCATGAGGGAATATATGTTTACAGCCAACTGAATGTGTTTAACGGGGAAGGCAGATATGCCCTCTCTGTGAGTGATTTTGATGATGATGGTCAACTGCTAATGGACTAATTTTGCAGTGCGAAATTCGCAATTCATATGGACTTCAAAAGGGCAAACCTAAATGTTGTAGTTTGACATTGCGCTGATTTCATGGATGGTATCAAGAACGGATTTTCCTTTGAATATAAACGGTATAATCGCAAAAGATGAAATGATGTAATTAACATTACAAGGAAAAACAAATAACTGAAATAAGCATTAGTTTGGGGTCAGTGGCGGAAAAGTTGTTGGTATTCAGTCGGGTTACAAAATGCGCAACACCCTTTGCTGCATTTACCAATGAAATTAATGAACGAGGAGGATTTTGTTGGTTTATTGATTACTTTTGAATTGAATTGTTCAGATAGCTTCATGGATTATTTCCCCTGTGAAAACAATCCATAAATGGGTTTATGCAACGGGGCTTGAACCGAGCAATCTTAATTGCAACATTTTTGTGGCAAGCAAAACGACCAGCGAAGACAAGGAAAATAGACTAAACTGTTAGTGAAAATTACGAGTCACTTAAAAATCATATATGAAATATGATGGAATATCTAAGAAGTTTCTATAGTATATGCATCCTAAATCTTCAAACTTCAGATCAAGAGATTATTAAAAAAAATGACAAAATGCACTTTTCATCCCCCGAGTATTAGGGCAAGATTGAGTCCTCATTAATTTATAATTGGCAAAACTATCCTTTAAAATGTTTTTCTCTTTAATTTTTGTCAATTTAACAGAAATTTTACAAATTTAATAGGTCAAACTTGTTGACCGTTAAATCTTTAATTTTTTATTAATTTCCTAAACAGTGGGGTCTACTAGTTTGACCCAAACAAAAAAAATTTCTTCTTCTTTTTCCTTTTTCGTTTCTTTTTTATTAAATTTTTTTCTCAAAAACTAAAAATATCAAAAATCTTTTTTCTTTTAAAGAAATTTCTTTTTTACTCCCAATTCTTTTTCTAAAATTTTTGTTTCTATTACTTACTGATTTTCTCTAAAGATTTTCATTTATTATTTTCTTTTACTAAAATTTCAAATTTATCATTTTTTCCTTAATTCCCTTTTCTTTTCTTTTTTTTCATTTTAAATTTCTTTTTTTGTTTTATTGTTGTTATTTTTCATTTTCTGTTTTGGAGTCAACATTGAAGAAAAAAATTTTCTTTTTCTTTTTTATTCCCAATTGCTATTAATAAAAAATTTAAATAAAAAACAAAAAAAAATTTAGAAGAAATAAAAATCCTTATAATAAAGATTAGAGGGAGAAATTTGGAACTAAAACAAAGATATAAGGCTTTTTCCTTCTCCATCACACCACATCCGCCGCCGCCGCCGCTTCCCAAATCGCCGCCCACACATGAATAGGGAATTAGACGAAAACGGAGAACCCTACTCCTCGGAATACCAATTTCCGGTGCCCGGACTCCCACAATCCAAATATCGTCATCCTTGGTTAGTGTGCTTTCACGGCCGGGGCCGCCACCACAACCAAATCTTCTGTGATTTTTCCTCAAATCCTTCTTCTTCTTCGGGAGTAATAATAATTACCAAGAGAATCCCTGAATTGTGCAATGACCGAAGGGTTTTGTACTGCTCCCCAGATGGCGATTGGTTACTTTTGTCAGAGAAATTCTGCCTTACGCAATCCTTCTTCTTGTGGAATCCCACGACGCAGGAGGATTCAATTAAGCTGCCTCTTCTGAGACAGTTCCTCCAGGAGATGTCCATTCATCGGGCTTGTTATTGTTGTCTTCGTCGAATCTCAACCCTTTTGGTAATTTTATTCGTTTTGGAACTATGTTTAATCTTATATTGTCAGGTTGGGGACAGAAGGTGGACAGAATTCGATTATGCTGAAAGGATTGAATCTCAAACGGGGTTACCTGTTGGACGAGATTATTACCTGTGAGCCCTGTTGTTTTTGATGGTGAAATCTATGCTTCGGCTTCTTGCTATACTGATTTAGTGAAAATTCATATTGATGATGACAACAACAATTGTGAGGAGGAGGAGGAGTAGGTGTTGTTTTCTTGGTCATCCATGATTTGGGGAAAATGAGATTAATGTTTTTTGGTTTTTTAGGCATTTCTGGTTTTTGGTGGTGGCTTTTTAATCCGGGGAGTGAAGGTGAGTGGTGGATTGGCGGCGGCGGCGGCGGGGGTGGTCAGCTGCCATTGTTGATCTTTTTGCTTTTTGATTTTTTTTAATTTTTTATTAATAACAATTGGGAATAAAAAAGAAAAAGAAAATTTTTTCTTCAATGTTGACTCCAAAACAGAAAATAAAAAATAACATCAATAAAACAAAGAAAGAATTTTAACTTGAAATAAAGAAAAGAAAAGGGAATTAAGGAAAAATGATAAATTCGAAATTTTAGTAATGAAAAAAAATAAATGAAAATCTGTTTGGGTCAAATTAGTGGACACTACTGTTTAGGAAATTAATAAAAAAAATTAAAGATTTAACGGTCAACAAGTTTGACCGGTTAAGTTTGTAAAATTTCTGTTAAATTGACCAAAATTGATGAGAAAAATAATTTATGGGACACTTTTTGGCAATTAAAAATTATGATGACTCGATCTTGTTACGCTTAAAAGTTGGGGGACGAGAAGTACATCCGGTCCTTAAAAAAATGTAAATATAAGTTTGTAATTATGATCGAAACACATTGAACCACAACAAAAATTACAAGTTCAAATTCTAGCTATTATAATCAACTAGATGGAATAAGCGCACTTTGCTCTCATACATAATATAGTGAAAAATATTCGTCTTAATGTGTAAATAAAAAATAGTATTCTAACTCTAAGAAAAACAAACAGCACAACTATACAAAGTGAACAATAGAATACAATCAAGTTTTAACGTAACAACTCCACTCCCCCAAAGAATAAAAAAAGAAAAAAAAATTAGAATTAAGAGTCTCACAAAAAATGCGTAATAATAACTAGGTGTTAGACCCGTCCAATGGACGGGGAAGGCATACACATTTAGACATTTTTATATAAATTTTGTATTTTTATAAAATATGTAATGATTTCAGTTTTAAACATGATTACTTCTGGGTTTACAAAAATTTGTTTTTTTAAAATGATATTTTAAATTCACTGGTGACAAGGTTTATGCAGATCTCTCTAAAATTTGTTAGGATTTGGTACTCTCTCCAATCAATCTCTGTGTTAGGATTTGGTTCATGAAAATAAGGGTTCGATTTTTATTATTTTATTTTTTTAAAAATTATTTTAGTTGCTTTTTTTTGTTTTATTATTTTGTTTTGTGCATTTTTAAGTCTAAGAAATTAAGAAAATGCCACATAGGATTAATCCTATGTGGCATGTGTTTCTGCCTTTAGTTTTCTCTCTCTGGTTTTTGCCTTAGTATAGTATATAGATAGATGAGTAAGAATTACCTTCAATGAGTTTGAGGTCAATTGAAAGGGCAAAAAAATAGATGTGATAAAACTCTTATCTTTTAGAACTTTATATATTGAAAATTTTGAAATACAAACTCTTATTATTTTTCTATCTGAGTTATGAAATAATCCTTGTGATTCTCATTAATAATCTTAAAATTCAACGAAGAGAAGAAGAAAAGACACAAGAAAATTTTAAAGCTACAAAAATACTTGAAACCATGACCAATCAAACTAATAATGAACATTGATTTGTCTATAATCTTTGAATTTAAAATAAAATAAATTAATGGAAGGAGATAAAAAATTAGAACATTAATGGAACACCAAATGTAACACATAAAATCTCTTTAAATTAAAAAATAAAAAAAATTAATAGGAAAAGATCAAAAGGTCAGAACATTAAAGGAATACCAAATGTGACACAAAGTCTTTTCATTCAAGGGAAAAAAAAACCCCATAGTTATTATTATTTAAAGAGGACTACCAAACTGAAATCAATATTCTGCATTTATAATACTCCCTCCGTCCCATAATTATTGTTCACTTTGCCCAAAAAATTTTGTCCCAAAATTATTGTCCAATTTGATTTTTTATGGATCAAATTACACATTTGTCCTTAGTAAAAAACATTATCCATAAAATTTTAGTGGTTAAACAATTATTTATGTAGGGGTATATCAGGTTATTTAAGGTAAAATATAATTAAATTTGACCAAAAATAAAATCTTTCATTTTAGTAAAACTGGACAATAATTATGGGACCGAGGGAGTATATGTTAAGGATCAAACTCGTAACGGTCAGAATAGCTAAGGAAATCAGGGTCAGGCCATTTAATTAGATCCTCAAACTCGTCATTCATCAAGAATGGAACAAAGCCAGAAAAACTAGATTCCACCTCGGAATTCAATTTGGTTTCCTCATTCGCCAATGTCGTTGCATCCTTGCTTGTGCCTTCTCTTTCTTCTTGCTTGTTTTTAGCATTATTATTTTTACTTTCGGTTGAACTATGACAATCTGTCGAAGGATTGTGACAGGGAGGAGAGAGAACAATTTGGGAGTTTCCTGAAATTGGGTTCATTTGTTGAGGAGTTTCAAGCAAGGTTTTCAAATCTTCAATAGCTTTATCTATTTGAGCCTCATCCAACCCACTTCAACTTCAGGAAATGAATCTAAAAAGTCCCGATACATGAGAACCAAATCGATAACTTCTCGGCTCATTGCCGCTTGGGAGCTGCCAACTACATCATGAGATCCAGCAACTTAGAATAGGGAAATTGTATTAGATGCATGATCTGTTGTACACAATATACAGGCTATATATAGACAATAAGAAACCCTAAACTAGAACATAATAGGAAATATACTAAATATTACAATACGCCCCCGCAAACTTACGGCGGAGAAGAGAGAAGCCGAAGTTTGTCCCGAAATCGAAAGATAACGCTTTAGACAAGGGTTTTGTCAGAATATCAGCAAGCTGATCAGCAGCAGAGATAGAATTGACCGAAACAAACTTACGCCGAACATGATTTCGAACAAAGTGAAAATCAACCTCAACATGTCTTGTACGAGCATGGAACACAGGATTGACAGCAAGGAAAACTGCACTACTGTTGTCACACCAAATAGAGGGATTGCGATTTAAAGAAACGCCTAACTCGGACAACAGATGACACACCCAATGCAGTTCAACACAGACATTAGCAACCGCACGAAACTCAGCCTCAGTAGACGAGTGAAACACAGTGGGCTGCTTCCTAGATGCCCAGGCAATGAGATTAGGTCCCAAATAAATGAGAAAACCAGTAGTAGAACGACGATCATCCGGACAACCAGCCCAGTCAGCATCACTAAACGCAGTAAGAGTACCCAAATCTGTAGGATGCAGAACTAAACAGTAATCAACGGTACCACGAACATAGCGAAGAACACGTTTGAGAGCCTGAAAATGAGAAGTGCGAGGCTGATGCATGAACTGACAAAGCTTATTAACCGCAAAAGAGATATCTGGACGAGTGAGAGTTGTATACTGCAGACTGCCACGCAGCCGACGGTAAGTAGTCGCATCATCAGGAGACAACAGAGTACCATCTAAACGGGACAACATAACATTAGCCTGCAAAGGAGTGGAAACAGGTTTGCAAGTATGCATATTTGCAAGTCGTAGCAAATCAGTGACATACTTGCGCTGAGAGAGAAGCAAACCCTTGGAAGTACGACGAACCTCAACCCCAAGAAAGTAACTCAATGGACCTAAATCTCGAAGAGAAAACTCCTTAGCAAGACAAGAGATAAAATACTGGACCAAACCAGAAGTGCTGCCTGTAAGAATAATGTCATCCACATAGACCAGCAAAAAACACAACTGAGACCCACGGCGATAGACAAAAAGAGACGGATCACAACGAGACTCCACAAAACCCAAGGTAAGCAGAAATGCTGCCAGCCGAGAATACCAAGCCCGAGGAGCTTGCTTAAGACCATATAAGGACTTATGCAGTTTACACACATAATGAGGGCGCACCGGATCAACAAACTCCTGTGGCTGAACCATATACACGGTCTCACTTAGAACTCCATTAAGAAAGGCATTACTGACATCAAGCTGAGAAATAGACCATCCACGAATGTTTTGTCCCTTTATGAATGTTTTGTTTCGGAAATGGATTGTTTGGGAGCCATGAATGTTTTGTCCCTTTATGAATGAGCTAGTTCCCAAACATTCATTTGTACCTATTTGGACGGAAACAAAATAAAATAAAACACTAACTCTATCATTTATTTTATTGCTCATAAAATCTTTTACAATATTATGCAAACAGTTCATTAAGAAAAGGATGGCAATGTAAGCACTCCTTATTATCAACAAACACAATCGATGTAAATATTAATATGAACATTCTAGCAAATTTTAATATCTTTCCTGAGTAAAGAAATGAGAAAAAAGGCTTAGTTTATTCCTTTTAATCTAAATTCAATAACAAAACTTTTTAATCGATGCAAATAGTTGTGTAATTAACTAACCATGGTTGTGCCCATTTGGCAAATTTCGAGCTTCATTTTCTTGATTAACAACAGGCAAATCAGTTGCTGAAGTGGGCAGCAAATTCTGATCCCAATCATAAGTAGATGTAGCACTTCTCTGGGGTCTGTTGACAACCAATTAATGGAAATGAAGCAACATCTGGATATATAACTGATATTTCTTTTTAGGATACATGTTCTTAGTCATCTACCTTGTTGAATCAACGAGGGAGGCAGGGCACCTGCCTATTAAAATGTTCTCCTTGTATTTCCTAAAAATGAAAAACATGGTAAAATAGGTCAATTATTTTACACACCTGCAGTTCGGTCTAGTATATTTTCGGAAAAATCTAAGACGTGTTTTCACTACTGAGAAACAGCTAAATTTTTTTTACTCGCGGCTAAGAGCTTTAATTACAGCAACATAAATATCTATAATTAGCCAGGAAAAAATTGGAGAAATAATAAAGAAAAATCCAGTTCACATAACTTCAAAGAAATTAACAATTATGAAACAAATAACAACAAGCTAAAATTACCACCAAACTACATAAATCAACCTTTGCAAATCTTGAATACTTGAGTTACAGGAATTAAAATCCAATCATGTAGAAAATTGATGAGCATGAACTATTCCATGCATCCTACAAAATAACATCATATCAGTGCAAAAATGAAATCCGTGCAAAAAATAACAATTTAAAAAAATAATAAATTCAACAAGACAATAATAACCGCCAAGAATCATGAATCTAATCCATTTCCTTGTGATGGTGGTGGTAGTGGTTAAGGAATGGAAACCAACGTGTTCAATCCATGTTGACTTTTGATTGAAGAACTTCTAGCTCCCGAATGAGATCTTCTTATGTTTAGATTAATGTTGTTACCAGGTAACCGGGATATTTTACGTCGGGCAACCCGATACTGTCGGCCACTGCCTCCTCTTCCTCCACATGGTGAAGAATCCAAAGCTTGAATTGAAACATTACCCCGCAAAACTGTTTGATCTTCAGGATTTTCCTTGAGAATCATCTCTGGATGATCCTGTGGGTTTTCAGTTCTTAGTGAAGAACTAGAATTCGCATGCATTAATGATGAAAGACTATTACACATGATTTTCAGGATTTGGATGTCGATACTATTTAAGATTTGTGGAGTTAAAAGGAAAATATTAATGGGTGGGTTTCAGCTACATGCAATGGGAGAAGAAGAAGAAGAAAAAGAATGTGAGCTTTGATTTCCTGAGAGTCTGCTTTTAAATGTAAGTTTCAATAATGAGTGCTCAGCCTATTTTATATAAGATCGGTGAGAATATGACGAAAGAAAAGAGTAACATTTGATAATGAAAACGTAAAAAGAAGCGGTGACTCCATCTTGCTGTTGGACATCAGTTAGATAAAGTTGACAACAAAGAAAGGTGAGAAATTTGGGAAGAAAAGACGTACCCAACTTTTCTTTTTACTCTGTGTGTTTGAGAGCTTACATAAGTGTTCGTGTGACTAAAACTTGTCTAAAATTCACATGGATATAAGGATATCTTGCCCAATATTTCTCGGTAGCACGATTACTAATTGATTTCGAATCAATTCCAGTTTTAAATGTATAGTCATTTGCCTCATTGCTGATATAAATTTTTCAATTTGGATTGCAGATATCTCTAACCAATAAACCTTTTAAACTTTAATGAAGTGGTGATCATAAAAGAAATGGTGTAAATGGCACCAATCACCTCTTTAACTTGGTTTCTCATTTTATTTCATCATCGATCGACCTTCAGTTTAAACCAATTGTCTATAGTTTTACTGTTGCAGGATCCAAATCACTGACAAAGATATTTAATAGAGTACATGTCTATATAACTAATGAACCATGGTAGTGAAGATTAAGAAAGAAGTAATATTATATGGTACAAATTGAAAGAGCGTAAATTTTAATACAAGATCCGCTCACTCGAGGATTTATCCGACCCACCACCTTCCCATGGGGAGCACCAGTGTTGTTTGTTAAGAAAAAAGATAGAACTTTGAGAATGTGCATCGATTATCATGGGCTCAATAATCTTACAATTAAGAACAAATACCTGTTACCTCTCATTGATGAATTGTTTGACCATTTGCAAGGGGCAAAAGTACTCTCCATATTTGACCTCAGACAAGGGTATTATTAAGTAAGAATTAAGAAAGAAGATGTCCTATAACAGATTTTAATACCAGGTATGGGCATTATGAATTTGTTGTCATGCCTTTTGGACTGACAAATGCACCAGCTGCGTTCATGGATTTAATGCATCGTGTTTTCCAACCACACTTAGATTAGTTTTTGGTGATTTTTACAAATGGCATTCTTGTATACTCCAAAACTTCAGATAAACACAAAGAACACTTGAAAGCAGTGTTGCAACTCTTGAAGAAACACCAATTATACGCCAAGTTCAGTAAGTGTGAGTTTTGGCTTCACAAAGTTATCTTCCTCGGACATGTAATATCCAATGAAGGTATCATAGTGGATCCCTCCAAAGTGGAAGCAGTGCTAAATTGGAAGCGGCCAGAAAATGTAAGTGAAATCCGTAGTTTCTTGGGTTTGGCATGGTACTATTGTCGGTTCATCAAGGACTTCTCTAAGCTAGCAGCACAATTAACCCAATTGACTCGGAAACAAGTACGGATTGGATGGAATGAAAAGGCAGAGATGGGGTCCCAAGAGTTGAAGAAAAGATTGAGCACTGTTCAGTTTTAACACTTCCAAATGGTAGAGATAACTTTGTGGTTTATACAGATGCCTCGAAAGATGGCTTGGGATGTGTATTGATGCAAGAACAAAAAGTCATAGCTTATGCATCTCGTAAGTTAATTATGTATGAATAGAACTATCCGACCCATGATTTAGAGCTGGCGACGGTAGTGTTTGCATTGAAGAAATAGCGCCATTATTTGTACGGTGTCAAATTTGAAATCCTCACAGACCATAAAAATCTCAAGCATGTCTTTTCTCTAAAAGATTTGAATATGCGCCAAAAAAGATGGATGGAATTTTTGGAGGATTATGATTGCACAATAAATTATCACCTGAGAAAAGCAAATGTAGTTGCATATTCCCTCAGTCAAAAGGCTCAAGTTACAAGAGTAATGATTAAAAAAGCAGTAATGCTGGATCGAATGGAGCTATGGGAGCCCCAGGTAAACAAGAAAGGAGTAATCTTTGATAATATCGATATTCACATTACCTGGCCTGAAAATCTTAAGAAGGCGCAAGAGATCGATGCTTCTTTGCAAAAACGCTGAGAAAAGGCATCAAAAGGACAACTCCCAGAGTATACAATTGATAGCGAAGGAGTTTTAAGATATTGAGGGCACTTTTTCATTCCCCAGGATGCTGAAATAAAGAAAGAAATCTTGGACGAGGCCCATAAGAGTAAGTACTCCATCCACCTAAGAAGTAAGATGTATAAAGATCTGAAATAGAAATTCTGCTTGGACAACATGAAAAGAGAAACTGTAGAATATGTAGCAACTTGTCTCAATTGCCAACAGGTAAAAGCTGAGCATCAAAAACCTTCAGGGTTAAATATAATCTTTGGAAATACTGGTGAGGAAATGGAAACATATTACCATGGATTTTTTGGTAGGGTTACCAAGGACACAGAGAAATCATGATGCCATATGGGTTGTAGTTGATGGATTAACTAAGTCAGTTCATTTTCTGCCCATCAATGTGAAATACTCGTTGGAGAAACTAGCGCAACGATACATAGACAAGGTGATCAGGCTTCATGGAGTTCTAGTAAGTATAGTATCTGATAGAGATCCATGATTCACCACTCGATTGTGGCAACAGGTACAATCGCTCTCGGAATGAAGTTAAAATTTTAGCACTGCTTCGTATCCTCGGACATATGGCTAATCGGAGCGAACCATACAATCACTAGAGGACATACTAAGAGCTTGTGTGCGCTACGTTGGAGGAAACTGGGATGGATATCTTACTCTGGTAGTATTTGCCAATAACAATAGTTATCATGCATCCATTGAAATGACAACTTATGAGGCTCTATATGGATGAAAGTGTAGGTCTCCTATCTTTTGGGATGATGTGGGAGAAAAAAGTGTAACCCCTCCAGAAATTGTTCCATGGGTCCTTGACATAGAAAAAAGAGCTATGCTGATAACCGAAGAAAAGATATTGAGTTTCGAGTAGGAGATAAAATATTTCTGAAATTAACTCCACACACAGGGGTTATCCATAATGGTAAGAAAGGAAAACTAAGCCCAAGATATATCGAACCATTTGAAATAATTTAAAAGGCTGGAGCAGTTGCCTACCGGTTAGATTTGCCGGTAAATCTGACTAGGATGCACAACGTATTTCATTTGTCACTCTTCAAGAAATATCATCCAAACCCGAACCATGTCCTTCAATTTGAGGATTTGAGTGTTGATGATTAACTACCGAATATAGAAAGACCAGTTAAAATCTTAGATCGTCAACAGTAAATCTTGAGAAATGAGACGATTAATCTTGTTAAAGTACTTTGGGCACACCACGGATTAGAAGAAGCAACATGGGAGACAGAGGAAGAAATGAGGGAAAAGTATCCCGAATTATTTACAAAAGAGAATTTTGAGGACGAAATTCACTAAAGGGGGAAAGAATGTAAGGTCCCTTGATGATAGTAAAATATATACACTTTCAGCAAGCATTTTTTACTCATTTTTACTTATAATTAGGTGTTAGTTAGTTAGAATTGGTTTAGTTTCGAGTTGATTTTGTATTTCAGGGTAATCAAGGGGTCAATGTGAAAAATCAGCATAAATGATGGCCAAATTGCACAAAAGAGCATCATTCTAGACTGAATTGGAAGCTGTTAGAATTTAAGCTACTGGAGGATCAATCAGAGATGAAGCAAGTGGAGAAATCCTTGCTGAGGAAGGAAGAATGACAGTAGGTGATCACAATTGGAAGGAATCTGCAGCAACATACTCAATTGAGGAGAAGAATGGCAGCTGCTCTGCTGCCAAGTTGCTGCTGCAGTAGCGGTTGCTGTTGTCAATCAAGAAGGAGCCACGAGCTGAAATCTTGGTGCCAAGGAAAGAATTTTTTTGCCATCACTGCAAGTTGTTGTTGCTGCAAGTGGAAGAAGAGAAAGAGGGACAATATCTGAAGAATAGCAGCTGCAACTCTGCTACTTACCAACTAATGCTGCTGCTGAATTGATGGAATGGCTAATGCAGAAGGGTGAGCAATGGTATAGCAAGTGACCCAGGAAACAAGGAAGAAAATGGCAGAAGATTGAGGCTGAATTGGGGGCTGGAAACATAATGATAGAAAGAAGCATGCTGCTGCTGCTAGTTGAGCTGTGAGGATTAAAGAATGAAAAAATGGAGATTTGAGCTGTGAGGAGAAGAAGCAATGATGAATAAAAGATGGCTAATTACGACTGAAGAAAAGAAAGGAGCTGCCAAGAGAAGCCAAGCAAGTTGCTGAATACACAAAATCACTTCAAGTGCTGCAACTTGCTGCCTCCTCCAATCTGCTGCAAGAAAGGCCATAACTCTACCAATCCAAGTCTCTCCAAATCTCTATAAATAGTTAACTAATAGCAGTCAGAAAAGAGGGAGAGATTGGGTAGTTAGAATCAGTTACAAAGACAGTAGTTAGGTAGTTAGTTAGTTGGTTAGAAACAAGGTAGTAGCAGGAGCAAGAGTGCGGACTGTCACTCTATCAAGTGGCGAACGCCACTCGCCATTGTGAGTAGACAGAAACTGGCCCTGCTATCATCTTCCCCTTCTATCCTCTAACCTTTTGATCTTATGTTTTATCTTTTGTACTCTGTTGCACTCATATTTAACTCAATAAACATGAGTTGCTAACTAAGTTAAGGGTTCAATCCCTATTATCTTTATGTAAAAGTTTTGATTCAGTTTTTCTTGATGAGGCATTGTGTCTAGATAAGTGTTTTAATTAATATTTTAATTAAACTGCACTTAATTAAATGTACATGTATAGTTATGAAGATCTGAGAGGGGGAGCATAACTTTAGAACGGCTTAATCAAGTCTATGACAAAGGAGGAAATCTACCCTTTGGTTTCAA